AAGAGAAATCGGGAGATTCGGAGGGAATCTGACGGATTTTGAAAGAATCTGAAGGAATTTGAAGGAATCTGAGGGAATCTGAGAGAATTTCAAATAATTTATAAGAATCTACAAGAATTTAAAGGAGTCTGGTAGAATCTGGAAGAGTTTTCAGGGATCTGAAGGAATCTGAAACGATTTGAATACAAGTGAAAAAACTGAAAAAATTTTGAGGATTCCTGACGGTGAAGTTGAAAAAATCTAAGAGATTCGAAAAGAATCTGAAAGATTTGGAAAGAATCTAAAGGAATTTGGAAGAATCTAGAAGAATTCCGAAGAGTCTGCAGGGATCTGAAAGAATCTGAAACGATCTGAATACAACTGAAAAAACTGAGAAAATCTTGAGGATTCCTGACGGTGAATTTGAAAGATTCTAAAAACAATCGAAAGAATTAGAAACAAACCGAAAGCATCCAGAAGCATCTGGAATAATCCGAAGGAATCTCAAAACCTTCGAAAGAATAAGAAAGAATTCGAAAAAAGAATCGTAAAGAAAATGAAGAAATCCGGGTGAATCTAGACTAATCTAGATTAACTTGGAAGGATCTGAGGAGATCTGGGGGAAGATGTAGCAAAGAATCGGAAAGAATCAAAAGGATCAGAAAGGAACGGAAGGAGTCGAGAGAAATGTGAGGGGATTTCAGGGAATCTAGACGAATTGTGAAAGAATCTGAGAAAAGATGAGAAACAAAGAATGAAAAGGGATCGGACTGAATCTAAAAAAATCTGAGAAAATTTCAGAGAATCTGAGAAGGTTGGAAAATATCTGAAGGAATGTGAGAGAATCTGAAAGAATCTGAGAGAATCGAACAGAATTTGCGATAATCTGAAGTAATGTAAAAAATCTGAAGCAATATGAAGGAATCTGAGCGATTCTCAAATAATCTAGAAGAATCTACAAAAATCTAAAGGAATCTGGAAGAATTTAGAAGAATTTGGGAGAGTCTGCAGGGATCTGAAAGAATCTCGAAGGATCTGAAGACAACTGAAAAATCTGAAAAAATCTTGAGGATTCCCGACGATGAATTTGGCAAAATTCTAAAAACAATCGAAAGAATCAAAAATAAGCGGAAAGCATCCAGAAGCATCTGGAATAAACCGAAAGAATCTGAAAAACATGAAAGAGAATCGTAAAAATCAGCCATCGCGTAAAAATAAATCCCTCCACTTTCAGTTGCTTGAAAAGCACAGCGAACTGAACCACATCAGCTGAAATACTCAAAATTAAAACCACCCCCTCAGTGGAAACTAAGTCACCTTTGGCTCCGTCTTTGTTGTTGTAGGCTGAACTAACCCCACACATCTAAACCCTTCCAACAGGAAATATTAAATGTGACCATTGCAAGAAAAATGTGCTTATGCTTATAGAAAATTCAGATTTTAGAATAAAAATGTCAGAGGAAACTGAAATCTCAGAGAAATTGGGAGACTCGGAAAAAATCTGAAGGGATCGGAGACAATTTCATGGAATGTGTTAGAATCTAAGAAAATCAGAAAGAATCCGAAAAACTTCGAAAGAATCGGAAGGAATCGGAAGAAAACTGAGAGAATTTCAGGAAATCTAGACAAATCTAGACGAATCTAGATTAATCTGGAAGAATCTGAAAAAATTTAAAGAAACGTGTAGCAAAGAATCGGAAAGAAAAAAAGAATCGGAAAGGAAGGAAGAAATCGAAAGAAATCTGAGAGGATTTCAAGGAATCTAGACAAATATAGATTGTGAAAGCATCTGAGAGAACCTGAGAAATAAAGAATTGGAAAAATCAGAAAGAATCAAAAAGGATCAGAAGCAATCGGATGAAAACCGGGATAATGCTAGAAGAATGAAGAAAAATCTAGAGGTATTTTGAAAAATTAAAAAAAAAAAATAGAAAATTAGAATTAGAGAAATTTGGAACAGTCCTCAGGAATCTGAAGCGATCTGGGAAAATTTGAGAGAATCTTGTAGAGTTTGAAACGATTTGAAAGGTGAACAATTTTGAGGGAATTTGAGGGAATCTGAGAAATTTGGGAAAAATCTGAAGCAATCTGAAGGAATCTGAGCGAATCTACAGGAAACTGAAGGAATCTGAGAGAATCTAGGAGAAATTAGGAGATTCAGAAAGAAGATGAGAGATTTGGAAAGAATCTGAAGGAATCTAAAGGAATCTGAGACATTTTAAGAGAATCTCAAATAATTTCGAAGAATCTGCAAAAATCTAAAGGAATCTGGAAGAATCTAGAAGAATTTAGGATAGTCTACAGGAATTTGAAAGGATCTGAAGGAATCTGAAACGATCTGAATACAACTGAAAAGACTGGAAAAATCTTGTGGAATTGAAGTTTAGAGAATCTAAAATCAATCGAAAGAATCAGAAGCAAACCGAAAGAATCAGAAGCATCTGGAATAATCCGAAAGAATCAGAAAAAATTCGAAAGAAGGACCGTAAAGAAGGGAATCTAGATGACTCTAGACTCTATAAGAATCTGAGGGAAGCTGAGGGAACATGAAACAAAGAATCGAAAAAAAAGCAGAAAGAATCGAAAGGGATCGGAAGGAATCGGAAGCAATGTGAGAGAATTTCAGAATCTGGAAAAATTTGAAAGGATCTTGAAGAATTTGAAACGATTTAAAAGATGAACAGCTCTGAGAGGATTTGAGCGATTATGAGAAAGTTAGAAAAAATCAGTGGAAATCTGAGAGGATCCAGCAGACTGAGAGAATCCAAAAGAATTTGTGATAGCCTGAAAAATTTGTAAAGAATCTGAAGCAATCTGGAGGAATCTTGGCGAATTTATAGGAAACTTGGGGAATCTGAAAGAATCTAAGAGAAATCGGGAGATTCGGAGAGAATCTGACGGATTTTGAAAGAATCTGAAGGAATTTGAAGGAATCTGAGGGAATCTGAGAGAATTTCAAATAATTTATAAGAATCTACAAGAATTTAAAGGAGTCTGGTAGAATCTGGAAGAGTTTTCAGGGATCTGAAGGAATCTGAAACGATTTGAATACAAGTGAAAAAACTGAAAAAATTTTGAAGAATCAAAAGGAATCGGAAGAAATCTGCTAGAATTTTAGTAAATCTTTGAAAATCTAGAAGAATGTTGAAAAACCTAGGGGAATTTTGAAGAATTTAAAATAATCTAGAAGAATCTAGGCAAGTCTGCAAAAATTTGGAACAGTCTGGAGGAATCTGAAGCCATCTGGAAAACTTTGAAATGATCTTGAGAATTTCAAACGGTTTGAAAAGTGAGAAAATTTGAGGTAATCTGAGAGTTGGAAAAAAGCTGACAGAATCTCAGAGAATCCAGCAGAATCTGTAAGAATCCGGAAGAGTTTCTGATAATCTAAAAAAATTGCGAAGAATCTGAAGGGATCTGAGCGAATCTACAGGAAACTGAGGGAATCTAAGAGAAATTAGCAGATTCGGAAAGAAGATGAGAGATTTGGAAAGAATCTGAGGGAATCGGAGAAAATCTCAAACAATCTCGAAGAATCTACAAAAATCTAAAGGAATCTGGAAAAAGCTAGAAGAATTTGGAAGAGTCTGCAAGTATTTGAAAGGATCTGAAAGTATCTGAAACGATCTGAATACAACTGAAAAACTGAAAAAATCTGACGGTGAATTTGAAAGAATCTAAAACAACGAAAAATTGAAGGAATCAGAAACAACACGAAAGAACCTAGAATAATCCATCAGAATCCGAAAAACTTCCAAAGAATTAAAATGAGAGAATCAGAAGTAATTCTGGGAGAATCCAGACGAATCTAAGAAAATCTGAAGAAACATGCAAAAAGAATTATAAAAAATCAGAAAGAATCAGAAGGGATCGGAAAGAATCGAAAAAAATCTGGGCGGATTTCATCGAATTTAGACGAATATAGATTCAAAAATGTGAAAAGAACCAAAAGGAATCGGAGGGAATCGGAAGAAGTCTGAGAGAATATCAGAGAATCAGAAAGAAGATAGAATTTGAGGAAATCTGAGAAAATTGGAAAATATCTGGAGGAATCTGAGAGAATCCGAAAGAATTTGTGAGAATCTGAAAAATTTGTAAAGAATGTGAAGCAATATGAAGAAATCTCTGTGAATTCACAGGAGGGAACCTGAGAGAATCGAAGAGAAATTAGAAGATTCGGGAAGAATTTGGGATTTGGAAAGCATCTGATGGAATATAAAGGAGTCTGAGGGCATTTGAGAGAATCTCAAACAATCTTGAAGAATCTACAAAAATCTAAAGGAATCTGGAACAATCCAGAAGCATTTGAAAGAATCTGCAGGGACCTGAAAGAATTTGAAACGATCTGAACACAACTGAAAAAACTGAAAAAATCTTGAGGATTTCTGACAGTGTATTTGAAAGAATCTAAAAACAATCTCAAGAATCAGTACCAACCGAAAGCATCCAGAAGCTTCTGGAATAATCCGAAAGAATCCGAAAAACTTCGAAAGAATCAGGAAGAATTCGCAAGGGGAATCGTGAAGAAAATGAAAGGGTCTGAACTTGAGGGAACCTGAAAGGATCTAAGAAACTCAGAAGGGATCGGAAGGAATTGAAAGAAATCTGAGTGAATTTCAGTTAATCTGGAAAAATCTACAAGAATGTAGAAAATTCTGAAAAAGTTTGGAACGGTCTGCAGAAATCTGAAGCGATCTGGAAAAACTTGAAAGGATCTTGAAGCATTTGAAATGATTTGAAAAGTGAAAATTCTGAGAGAATTTGTGGGAATTTGAGAAAGTTGGAAAACGTTTGAAGGAATCAGAGAGAATTTGCATCCAGCTGCAACCTCACGTGACTGCTCTAAACCTCGAAACGTCGAAACGTAACGTTCTCGATATTTTTTACTTCGCAGCTCGTTAGAACGTTCTGGATTTGGTGTGAGACGTGTGTGGTCGGAAAGTTTAACAGGGTTGTTTGTTTGGATGAAAGGGATTTCTTAATATGGGGTGTTTGACGCGATTGCGGTGTAAACACGAAGATAAATTTAATAATTTTTTCAAAACGAAAGATTCATGTAAGTACAATAAAAAAAATCGTCAAACTTTAACAATAGCTTTTCCGACATTGTCTCCTTTTAGCACTTCCACAAACACGTCGAACATGTTTTCAAACCCTTGTCTCACACTTTCCCTATAAACCAATTTTCCCTCCTTAATCCACTGTTTATTTTGCAAAACACCCTCAAACCACCTATCCAGCCATCGCGTAAAAATAAATCCCTCCACTTTCAGTTGCTTGAAAAGCACAGCGAACTGAACCACATCAGCTGAAATACTCAAAATTAAAACCACCCCCTCAGTGGAAACTAAGTCACCTTTGGCTCCGTCTTTGTTGTTGTAGGCTGAACTAACCCCACACACAGACACCCTTCCAAACAGGTTCATCTGTCTCATGATTTTATTGGCAAGGTCTCCACCCACGTTGTCGAAGTAGCAGTCGATGCCATCAGGAGCGGCTTCTGCTAACTTCTTTTCAAAATCTTTGTCCTTGTAGTTGACGTAGTGGTCGAATTTTAGTTCTTGGGTTAACCATTTGCCCTTGTCGTCCGAGCCGGCCACCCCTATGACTCTGCATCCCTTAATTTTCGCGATTTGGCCCACAATGCTGCCAACGGCGCCTGCGGCGCCTGTCACCACCACGGTTTCCCCGGGTTGGGGTTTGCAGATTTCCAGGAAGCCGAAGTAGGCCGTGTTGCTAAAGCCAGGTTATATAAAAACCATGGTAACGTTGCAATGGGAGTACTTACCCAGGCATGCCCAAAATTACTAAGGACAAGGAAAGCGGCAGCCCCTCCAGATCTGGAATGATCCATGGGATGGGGTACCCTTTAGGTAGTGGTGGTGTTTCGTCCGCAATGGTGTGAGTCCTCCACCCAAATTCACCCACCACGTATTTGCCCACCGGGTACTTGGGATTCTTACTTTCTATTATTCTATAATAATTAAAACCAAAAATGTTTTTACGGTTTTATTTTTCCTAGTACTTACTTTGCCACTTGAGAGCCTATGAATGTCTGTCCGATAGCTACATCGTGTGCTAAGGACCTCATGTACGGGTCCACACTCAAAAAAACCGCCTCTGTCAAAAATTCTGGCAGAAATCGTTCAATAGAAACACTCAACAATTTTCATGTATTATCATTTACCTCCATTTTTGATGGGTCGTAATTCCTCTTCTACCAGTTTCAAGTCGCTGGCTTTAGGAAAACCGTTGAATGGTTTTTCCAGGACGAATTTTTTCGCTTTTACCATGTCAGCGTTGTTGTTAAATGCGTACCACACTGTTTACTGCAATGAGCTAATATGTGACGACATTTATATCGACTACGCTGAAATTATCAGATTCAAGACTGCATTTTATTAGTTGTATTATCAGTCGAGAATGACGCAGCGCTTTGGTGTTTGGTCCTGGAAAATTTTTAAAACACTTGTTTCCATAAATGCCAGTCATTGTTTAGTTTTGGTGTTATATTGCATCATTGGAGAAATTTTGTAAGAGTCGGTGACCTTTGCTGAATCGCTGCGTCGAAAATACTTAAGTCAAGATCATTCAGAACAAATCCGCGTTCAAGTTCAAGTTCAAAAATAGTGTTATTGTTATTTTTCGCTCAATTTGAGATGGTTTTATCGCCTTAGGTTAAATTAATCGCCTTACGGTTGTATTTCTAGATAACGTAATAATCCCTGCTATTAATTTACCATCGGTTTAACGGTTTCACCTTTCCCAACATTATGAACTTGATAATAATTTATCTACAAAATTTGTCTAAAAGTTTTATTGAACTTTCTCTGGTTTTCTTTGAGAGCTACATTTATTTTATTATTTTACATAATCAGAGGAGCTTTTCTTTTTGTCTGTTAGGACATTTTTATAGAGAAAACAAAAAAAATCTGAGAGAAAATGAGAGATCTGAAGGAATCTGAGACAATTTCATGGAGATTCTACAAAAATCTAAAGAAATCCGGGGTCTGCAGGGATCTGCAAGGATCTGGAAGAATCTGAAACGATTTGAATACAACTGAAAAAATCTTGAGGATTGATGACAGACAAACCGAAAGTATCCAGAAGCATCCAAAATAATTCGACTCAATCCGGAAAACTTCGTAAGAAACTGAAAGGAATCGGTAGCAAACTGAGCAAATTTCAGGGAATCTAGGCGAACCTAGACGAATCTAGATTAACCTGGAAGAATCCGGAAAAATCTGAAGAAACGTGTGGCAAAGAACGGAAAGAATCGAAAGAAATTTCAGAGGATTTCAGGAATCTAGAGTAATCAAGATTCTGGAAGAATGTGAGAGAAGCTGAGGGAACAAGAAGCAAAGAATCGGAAAAATTCAGAAAGAATCAAAAGGGATCGGAAGGAATCCAAAGAAATTTGACAGAATTTCAGGGAATCTGGATAAAACTAAAAATTTAGAGAAATTTTGAAGAATTTAAAAAAAATCTAGAAGAATGTAGACATTTCTGGAAAAGTTTGGAACAGTCTACAGGAATCTGAAGCTATCTGGAAAAATTTGAAAGGATCTTGAAGAATTTGAAACGATTTGAAAGGTGAAAAATTTTGAGAGAATTTGATGGAATCTAAGAAGGTTGGGAAAAACTCAAGAAATCTGAGAGAGTCCAGCAGAATCTGAGAGAATCCGAAATAATTTGTCATAATATGAAAAATTTGTAAAGAATCAGAAGCAATCTGAAGGAATTTGAGCGAATCTATAGGAAACTGAGGGAATTTGAGAGAATCTAAGAGAAATTAGGAGATTCGGAAGGAATCTGAAAGAATCCAAAGGAATCTGAGGGACTCTGAGAGAACCTCAAATAATCTCGCAGAATCTACAAAAATCTAAAAGAATCTGGTAGAATATAGAAGAATTTGGAAAAGTCTGGAGGGATGTGAAAGGATCTGAAACAATCTGAAATTATCTGAATACAATTGAAAAAACTGAAAAAATCTTGACGGTGGATTAGAAAGAATCTAGGAGCATCTGGAATAATCCGAAAGAATCCGAAAGAAGAATCGTGAGGAAAATGAAAGAGGCTGAAACCATGGGAAGGAATCTGAAGGAGTATGAAAGAATCTGAGAAAATCTAAAAAAAGGAGGAATCGGAAGTAAACTAATAGAATTTTAGGAAATCTAGGCGGACCTAGACGAATCTAGATTAACCTGGAAGAATCCGAAAAAACCTGAAGCAACTTCTAGCAAAGAATCGGAAAGAATAAAAAAGAATTAGAAAAAAATAGAATTTGAGAGAATTTCATGGAATCTAGATGAATCTAGATTCTAGAAGAATCTGAGAGAAGCTGAGGGAATCAAAAGGGATCGGAATGAATCGGAAGAAATCTGGGAGACTTTCAGGGAATCTCGAAAAATCTAGAAGAATGTAAAAAAAATCTAAAGAAATTTTGAAGAATTTAAAAAAATCTAGAAAAATCTAGACAAATCTGGAAAAATTTAGAGCAGGCTGCAGTCATCTGAAGCAATCTGGAAAAGAATTTGAAACGATTTGAAAGGTGAAAAATTTTCAGGGAATCCGCGAAGGTTGGGAAAATCTGAAGGAATAAGAGAGAATCCAGCAGAATCTGAGAGAATCCAAAAAATTGGTGATAATCTGAAAAATCTGTAAAGAATCTGAAGCAACCTGAAGGAATCTGAGCAAATCTTCAGGAAATTGAATTGAATTAGAAGAATCGAAAAAAATCTCAGAGATTTGGAAAGAATGTGAAGGAATCTGTGGGAACCTGAGAGAATCTCAAATAATTTCGAAGGATCTACAAAAATCTAAAAGAGTCTGAAAGAATCTAGAATAATTTGGAAGTCTGTAAGGATCTGAAAGGCTCTGAAAGAATCTGAAACGATCTGAATACAACTGAAAAAATTGAAAAAACTTGAGGATTCCTGACGGTGAATTTGAAAGAATCTAAAAACAATCGAAAGAATCGGAAACAAACTGAAAGCATCCAGAAGCATCTGGAATAATTCGAAAAAATCCGAAAAACTTCGAAAGAATAAGAAAGTATTCGAAAGAAGAATCGTGAAGAAAATGAAGGATGCTGAGGGAATCTGAGCGAATCTAAGAAAATCTGAGGAGATCTAAAGGAACATGTAACAAAAATCGGAAAAAATCACAAGAAAGGAACGGAAGGACTCGAGGGAAATCTGAGGGAATTTCGGGGAATCGAGACGAATCTAGATTGTGAAAAAATCTGAGAGAAGATGAGAAACAAAGAATCGGAAAAATCAGAAAAAATCAAAAGTGATCGGACAGAACCGAAAAAATCTGGAAGAATTTCAGAGAATTTGAGAAAGTTGGAAAATATCTGAATGAATGTGAGAGAATATGAAAGAATCTGAGAGAATCGAGCAGAATCTGAGCGAATCTGTAGGAATTTGTGATAATGTGGAAAAATTATAAAAAATCTGAAGCAATATGAAGGAACCTGAGCGAATCTGAAATAATCTCGGAGAATCTACAAAAATCTAAAGAAATCTGGCAGAATCTAGAAGAATTTGGAAGAGTCTGCAGGGATCTGAAAGAATCTGAAATTGAAAGAATTCTAAAAACAATCAAAAGAATCAGAAATAAACGAAAAGCATCCAGAAGCATCTGGAATAATCAGCAAGAAATTGAAAAACATGAATCCGAAGAAACGTAGGAAAATTTCAAGAAATCTAGCCAAATCTAGACGAATCTAGATTAACTTGGAAGAATCTGATAAGATCTGAGGTAACGTGTAGCAAAGAATCGGAAAGACTCAAAAGGAATCAGATAGGAAGGAAGGAATCGTAAGAAATCTGAGAGGATTTCAGGGAATCTAGATGAATCTGAGGGAAAGTGAAACAAAGGATTGAAGAAATCAGAAAGGGGAAACTGAAAAAATCTAGAAGAAAGCAGAAAAATTTAGAGGAATTTTGAATATTTAAAAAAAAATCTTGATGAATCTAGACAATTCTGGGAAAATTTGGAACAGAATGCAGAAATCTGAAGCGATCTGTAAAAATTTGAAAAAAACTTGAAGAATTTGAAACGGTTTGAAGGGTGACAAATTCTGAGAGAATTTGAGGGAATCTGAGAAAGTTGGAAAAAATCTTAAGGAATCTGACCGAATCTACAGGAAACTGAGGGGATCTGAGAGAATCTAATAGAAATTGGGAGATTTGGAAAGAATCTGAGAGATTTGGGAAGAATCTGAAGGGATCTAAAGGAATCTGAGGGAATCTGAGATAATCTCAAATTATCTCGAATACTCAAAAATTTAAAGGAATCTCCAAGAATCTGCAAGAATTCGGAAAAGTCTGCAGGCATCTGAAAGGATCTGAAAGAATCTGAAACGATTAGAATACAACTGAAAAATCTGAAAAAATCTTGAGGTTTCATGACGGTGAAAGAATCAGAAACAGACCGGAAGTATCCAGAAGCATCTAGAATAATCCGAAAGAAGAATCGTAAAGGAAATGAACGAATTTGAAACTATCTGAAGCAATCTGAACGAATCTGAACGAATTTAAGAAAATCTGAAAAAACATAAAAAAAGGATTGTAAAAAATCAGAAAGAATTGGAAGGGATCGGAAGAAATCTGAGACAATTTCAGAAAATCCGGGCGAATCTAGACGAATCTAGATTAACCTGGAAGAATCTGAAAAAAATTGAAGGAACGTGTAGCAAAGAATTGGAAAGAATCAGAAAGGAAGGAATGAATCGAAAGAAATCTGAGAGGATTACAGGAAATCTAGGCGAATCTAGATTCTGGAAGAATTTGGGAGAAGCTAACGAAACATAAAATACTGAATTGATAAAAATCAGAAAGAATCAAAAGGAATCGTAAGAAATCGGAAGAAATTTGAGAGAATTTTAGGAAATCTTTGAAAATCTAGACGAATGTTGAAAAATCTAGAAAAATTTTGAAGAATTTTAAATAATCTAGAAGAATCTAGACAAGTCTGCAAAAATTTGGAACAATCTGTAAGAATCTGAAGCGATCTGGCAAAATTTGAAACGATCTTGAAGAATTTGAAACGAAAAGTGAAAAATTCTGAGAAAATTTGAGGTAATCTGACAGAATCTGAGAGAATCCCACAGAACCTGAAAAATCCGGAAGAGTTTGTGATAATCTAAAAAAATTGTGCAGAATCTGAAGCAATCTGAAGGTATCTGAAACGATTTGAAGACAACTGAAAAAACTGAAAAAATCTTGGGGATTCCTGACCCTGAATTTGAAAAAATCTAAAAAAAAAATCGAAAGAATCAGAAACAAATCGAAAACATCTAGAATAATAAGAATCTGAAAAACTTCCAAAGCTTTTGAATG